ATTCCCAGCAAACACATGGTGGCTCACAACCATCTGCAATGAGATCTGGTGCCCTCTTCTGGTGTACAAGCATACACCCAGGCAAAACACTGTATACAAAATAAACAAATCTTAAAAAAGGGCTGGAGAGATGGCTCAGAGGTTAAGAGCACTGGCTGCTCTTCCAGAGGTCCTGAGTTCAATTCCCAGCAACCATATGATGGCTCACAACCATCTGTAATGAGATATGGTGCCCTCTTCTGGCGTGTGGGCATACATGCAGGCAGAATGTTGTACACATAATAAATAAATAAATCTTAAAAAAAAAAAAAAAAAGCTTGAGGAAGCAAGGGTTTATATGGCTTACAGGTTATATAGTTCATCGTCCCCAAATACCAAAGACTTGGAACCTGGAGGCAGGAGCTGAAGCAGAGGCAGGAACTGAAGTAGGGGCCATGGAGGAAGGCTGGCTCCCGGGCTGGCTCCCGGGCTGGCTCCCGGGCTGGCTCCCGGGCTGGCTCCCAGGTTCATAGCCAACTACCTTTCTTATTCAGCTCAGGCCCACAGGCCCAGGAATGGAAAAACCCACCATGGGCTGGACACCTTTATCAATTAACAATCAAGAAAATGTCCCACAGATGTACCCGCAGGCCTGTCCAATGAAGGCAATCCTTCAGTTAAGGTCCCTCTCCCAAGGTGCACCAAGTTGACAACGAGAACTAACTAGGACCTCCCTGCCCCTCTAGCCTTACACTCCCCAGTGCAAGGATCAAGGACGGCATTTGTGGCCAGCTTAGGTGTCTCTGGTTTCTTGACTCTCTCAAGTCACCAGAGAAGGCAAAACCCTTAAGTTCACCATTTCCCTATAACATTTATGCTCCTAGTCCTCCTGTTTCGTACACAAGAAAATGGGTTTTAATACAAAAATATCCACTGTTGAACATATCTTTTAAAACTATAGTCAATTTCGTGTCTATGCAATCCATGATCTTGCCAACTTTCTCCGCTCACTATTGGGGATACAAAGTGTAGGCACTGGAATGACTCATGGTATTCAGGGGGCCCCAGGGTGGGACAGCACCAGGCCCTCTGGGGCTCCCGACTCAAAGTCCACAGCCCAGGTCACTCTTTGCTGGGTTGCAGGTGAGCTGCCCTAGCCAAGGGGTGCAAGAGTGTTCCTGTGCTGTCGTGACCTCTCTCAGGCCTCGGAGGGCTCATGTGGAGAGCTGGCATGGTGCTTCATCTGTGGTATCAAGGCTGGATGGGAACAGGCGCCCCGAAATAAGGAGTACCAGAGGAACCAAGGCGTCTTCCTGAACTCTGTCTCGCAGCCTGTTTGCTGCTGGTGGCCTCTGCTGTTCACAGGATGCCGACTCAGCCAGAGAGGCCTCGCCCGCAGCCTGCTGCCCAACACATCCCATATGTTTTATTTAAAATATTTTAAATTAGAGCCGAGCGGTGGTGG